CATGATGTGAAAGCGCCGGGCCTCCCTCTCCTCCTTCACTTGTGTGACAGATGTAAATGGACGTTTTAGCAGTTGGCTCTAATGCATTTTTAAACAGGCACAGCAGCAGACAGCAAATGAACGTGTCGCAACGGCAACACTCCACGATGGGGTTTCCATCTATCGCTGCCTCCTCCTCACATACAAACATACAAACCCATACTCACACATACGCACACGCGCACATGGTCCTACACACTGCTGAGAATAGCTGTCATTCATCAACTTTCTCAGTACAATGGGCTCAGTAAAGGTCCCATCTTTCAACTAAAGCACCTCCACACTGCGGTGCCCAGCCGAGCACTGTACCACTGCATCACAATCCCTGTCAGCCGCAAACACTCCTGCACAGTAGGATGGATAGATGATTGGGTGAAGCTGTTGTTTATTCTCTGAGTTGAAAATTAAAATGGCTCTGCTTTCCCAGATGACAAAAACCGAAGACTGTTACTGCTGATTAGACCACACGCATGAACAGAGAGCCAGGGAAGAAAGTGCTATGACCAGAGACGGAAGGATGAGAGTGTGTGACTGTTACAATGAATTTTAGTGGCTGAGAGAACTCAGAGGTCTGCAACTTAAGAAAATATGTCTAGACGTGTCACCAAAAACAAAGACACAAGCGCATTTAGAAACACAATTACTAATCATATTAAAACATTCGCAACAGCAAAAAGCACTGCAAATAAGGAAAACATAATGAAATGCTAACATGCTATTGTAGTTACAATATGAAAATGTTTTGCCCGGGGGACACCAAAAACTTGATGTACCCACCCAAAATGCTATGATTGAGCTTCTCAGTAATGTTGAAAAGTGAGCTAGCGATGTTTATTTTACTTTGATTAACAAAAACCTTAACTCGAGGTCACAAAGAGTCCGCTCGGATCATCAAGTGACCTAAGTACAGAACGGTCTGTGTTAACAGATCACATGTCAACTGAACCAACTCCATATCTAAAGCTCCAGAAAAACATATTAACTGGGTCCGTGTATGTTTTGGTCATTGGATTTTCCTTTCAGAAACGGGTATTAAAAAATAGAAAACGAGTGGTTATTTGATTTTCGTTTTAAAATACAAAAATTAAAATTGAAATACAAGGCGTTTTTCTTTTTCATGGTCAAAAAGGGATGAGAGAAATGTAAAAAATGATTCGATTTTCATTTTCTATTTCATATAACAAAAAATAAAATCACTAGAAAACAGAAACGGAAAAAACGCCTGTTTTTTCATATTCTGAGACCGGATGTTGTCATTTACAGGACGGTGCTGTGGAGAAGAAACAGTAGGCTAGTAGACTGCGGTCAATCCAGCCGTGAGTCCGATCTCCGTGGTCAAATCAGCCGCACTTAAATTTAGAGTGTACAAGTATTCTCAGCATTATGGTAAATGCGGAGAAACGCCGTATTTACTTCCGGTTTTCAAAATAAAGGTATTTAGAGCCGTAAGCTATAATTAAAATATGTTACATTAAAGTGTTGTGTGCCCCTGATGAATAAAAAAACACTTTATATCAAGTATCTTTACTGCACCAGTGTGGAGAAATACCAAAATAAAAGTCCATATTTGTATCTCCAAGTGGTATTTTCATATATTTGAGCTACTGTAAAAACACTTTGCTCAATAATTCCTGGCTACTGATGGTATATTTGACTTCTACACATCTAAGACTACAAGTATACTTAATATCAAGCATTTTTACTGTACCAATGTGGAGAAATTGAAGAATAAAAGTCCCATATTTATACTTCCAGATTCCATATTTTCTTATATTTGGTCAAATATGCAGTCTCTGGAGGCATAAATATGAGGCTTTTATTTTGGCATTTCTCCACACTGGTGAAAATCGAATATTTTTTTAAATTTCGCTCATCCCTTTTTGACCATGAAAAAGAAAAACGCCTTGTATTTCAATTTTAATTTTTGTATTTTAAAACGAAAATCAAATAACCACTCGTTTTCAGTTTTTTAATATCCGTTTCTGAAAGGAAAATCCAATGACCAAAACATACACGGACCTAACTGCAGTCGCTTTGAGATTATTTTGTCCAACTACTACTCCAAATGTTTAGTTTTAGTTTTAGCATTCTTATTGCACAATTACTGGAACTAAAAGGCTAGCACTACATTTATAGCACTAGGAAATGCCTGGCTCTGGTTCTGATGAAGAGCATACAACAAACAGGAACATACAGGCTTTAGTACATAAAGCTGCATTTCGATAGGAAACATCCACTCACTTAGCTTGGTGGTTAAGGCTTATTATGGTTATTATGTTTAGAGTTTATATTTTCTGTGCCGTTTGTATGATTGTCAGCAGGATTATGGACAAAACTACTAACCCACTTTTCATGAAACTCACAGGGTGGATACACTAATTATTTTTCACACACAAAATGAACTGAATTAATTGTGGGGGCACGCACGAACCTGTCGTAATAAAAATGAATGGTATGCCGTGACTATCATCACATCACTGTATAAATAAATAACAGGTATGTAAGAAAGAAGCAATCTTGGGATGGAATAGCAGCTTGTGCAACATGAAAATGTAACCCACGTGAATCATGTAGATCCATAAAATACATTTTATGGTTGCTCTAGCTTCTTTGTGCTCTCCTCTGGGTGGTTGACCAGGGGTGGTGCTTAAGTCCTACACATGCGCGCACTTGTACACACACACACACACACACACACACACACACACACAGCAAGCGAGAAAAAGAAAGGGTGGGTCATGGGTGCGAGCTGAGGTGCAGGTTTGTTGGGGGTCAGGAGAGGACGTGCATTGTCGCTGTTTGTCAGAGTGTATACGTGTGGTGCTAATACTACCCACTGCGCAGCTGGATTTGAAATGTGTGTCTGTATGCCGCTCTTTTTGGTGGATGTGATTCTTTGCTTGAGTTTTATTAATGTGAGGCATTTGTTTTTAAATGCAATGTATGTGTTGTCAAGGTGATAAAGAACTGTATTTGCTTGTGTTTTGTGTGTTTGCTTGTGGTTTCCTGCGTTGAATTATTGGCCGCTGTAGAAAAAAATGTTTCATGATGAATGCATACATTAATGCAGTCTCTGTGTCTTTACTCTTAAATAATGCAATTTCCAAAGACTATGAGGGCCTGCGTGTTCCAGGACAGGATGTGATAAATATTGTATACAGCCCTGCTCTATTGTGTTTGTTTTTTTTTCTAATGTGGCTATTTTCTGGATTCTGTTTGATGTAAACATGTTTTGCAGGGCGACGCTGAGGTTACAGAGGACTCCACGTACTGTTGTGTCACTCATTCCACAATCTCTCATCTTTTTATGTCCATTGCCTTAATTTGAGGAAATTAAAGAGATATTTTACCCAGTAAATAAGTTTGCCAGCAACTGTAGAGTGGTGATGTGGCATTGTGACTTGTGTACACTATAAAAGTCAATTTAAAATACTCGCATTTCTCTACATAAATCTGTATTTTGCTCAATCTCATCTCAAAGAGCCACCAAAAGTCAACTTTAACAGCATTTTGGTGAATTATCTCTTTAATTGTCACCCTCACCCTGCCAACAGTCTGTATTTGAGCTTCCTCATGGACACTGAACAGATCTTTCATTGCTTTTGTCATTGCAGGTACCCATCAGCACAACTATAACCATGTGGCTCTAGGTAGCCCTACACGCACACCTAAGAATGGTAAGACAAACTAGCATGACAGGGGGAATATTCAGGAGAATTCACAGCTCAGTTGAGTGTTTGAGATGAAGCCTAGACCTGGGCATTAACTTGAATATAGTGCTTGACATGGATGTGTGAAAAACCCCTTGACATGGTCCTCCTTTCAATTCGCCCCACCGTGAATCCATTCTGTTATTGAAAATGAGGCTTTTTTGTTGGAGATTGAATCACAAAAGTGTCACATCCCATAGTCATGAACATTTCTCTGTGAGCGAGATCAAGCAGCGCTCGCTGTCCATCTCCTTTTTAAAGAGAACACAATTGGCTGAGGATCAACTTAATGTTCTGTCGAGGTCATCCCGTCCTCTGGTTGACAGAGCGTGTGAAACCTGCGACGTTCCCCGCTGTTATCCCGAAAACAAAAGTTATCGCCGTAACCTCATTCTCCCTGTGAGGAGCATAATCGCGAATGGGTTTTTATAACCGATGTCATGCGGCTGTTGGTTTAAATAGTTTTTGTGAGCGAGCTGAGGCTGCCCCGGGGTCGCAGACTGGCAGATGTGAAGGGTAGCGGGTTGCATAAGGATGCAAGGTGGAGGCTGGAGAGAGTAAAGACAGCAGACGTAAAAGGAAAGAAAGGAGGCCATCAGCTGAATATTCACTGCCTTCTGTATTTATTAAATCACTCTGATCTTACCGTTTGATTTATATTCTGTTTGTTCCAAACACAAATATTAAAAAAAAATGCTCGCTCTTCAGCATGGGGTTATTCTTTATGGACATAATTGACCATGTGGTCCCATTTCACACATACTGAAACACACACACACACGCACACACACACACACGATAAGAAAACTGCAACTATGGACAAATGCCTTGGAGATCTATGGAAAACATGAAAAATTCATTTCAACAACACATCTAACACAGAGACTTTGATCACAGGCCCCCTGAAAGGCTTCAAATTTCAGCATGCAGTGTATTTTCTAGATAAAACCCGCTGCCCCCCGCCCCCAGCAGCAGTCTGTGACTGAAACAACCAGGAGATACAGCAGCAAATCACAAGCAGAAAATGCACAATCCTACACACAAGTGTACATCACATGCCTCAGGAAGTAGAATCTGATTTGATTTGAATTCTTTTTTGACGGGGTAGGGGGGGGTGGGGGGTTCTGTACTAGTCATGCTGAACATGGAGCAGGTCTTTGTAGGTTCTGTTTTCTCACCATCAACATGTTTCTGAAATATTTGTTTTTCACTTGGGTTTGGTAGCTCACCGATCATTGAGGCGTGGTAAGTCATACATACATACGTTTATTTAGTGTTAAAAACTCATTCATCACATTCCGGCACAAATCTGTGAACTCATACACCGCACACCAACCCCTACGTTTGTGTCGTCCTCCTCCCAATTAAACTCGTGTTTTTTCAGACCTGATTTAACTAGCATTTGCTAACAGTTCTTGATCTTTGTTTGAACCTAGCTGCTTCAACAAGAAAAATCTGTGGTTTGTTATGTGGGCCATAAAAGGCCCAGAATCCTTTTTACCCATGAAAATTAATTCATGTGATTGCTAATGTACAGGGAGCAAGCATGCAATAAAGTATCATTTGTGTTATTCTGTATTTTTCTTATTGTCAACAAATAACAACTGTTTGTGGCTCTTAGCTCCAACCCTATTGGTCCCAATAAAGATATAAATCTTTGAAAAGGGGTCACAAATGCAATTTTTTTTTTTAAATGCTCAATAATTAACTTAAACAGCTGGGCACTGTAGTTTTAGCAAGCCTCAAACAGATGGAAATTGTGCATTTGTTGGGGCTATTGTCAGCCATAGATTAATGGCACCAGGACAATGTATGTATAATAACATCTGGATACAGCGTTGGAGACGGGGCTCAGTTCATTCCTATGAAAGCTGCTCAGTGGCTTATTAAGCCAAAAACCACTTCCTGCTGTAACATTACTCAGATGAATGCATACTGCCCATGCTCTGTGGGCCCCAAATGGGGTCGGCATGTCATATGTCCAGAGCTACTGATAAGTTAGGGCCAAAAAAAGCAAACTAAACCCTTTCAATAACAAATTGGCTAACATGAACAGAAGTGTCAGGCAGAAAAAATAAAGTAAAGCAAAATCAGTCTGATGATCAGGATATGTGAGATTGACCTGAAAGATACTACAGTGGCAGTGTTTATCTGAATGAAGTTACACCCAGTGCCCAGTATAGGCTTTGGCTAGAGATGCAGTACATGTTAGGAACAATTAATTATTGGTTTTGGTCTTCATACTGGATTTGTTGGCAATAAGAAAAATATAAAATATCACTAGACTTTTTAAGATTTGCAAAGACTATTTGAGCCAGGTCTGTGTGGTGTACTGTCCATCGTGATGAAGCAGTGAAATGTGTTTGCAATTGAGATAGCTAACAGCATGCCACAGTCTGAGTCAATTCTTCCCTTATTGATGCAGTGTGGCAGACAGTCCACTCACAGATCGTTCACATCCTTCGAACCCCCTCCCTGCAGCTCCCAGGACCCCCTGCTGTTGCCCGGCCCTGCCGCCACCCCTCCGTCCTGAGCTTCCCTCCTTTTTATACCCTTCTATTTTCTGTCCTTCTTGTATTTCACTCTCCTTTTTTCCCTTTTAGATTCTCTTATCTCCATCTCTTCTTATTCCTCTCCTTCTCTCCATCCTGCAGCAGTTACTAAAGCCCTATTTTTATCTATCCATTGGAGGCTGGTCTGGAGCCGCACCCATGCCCGCTGCTCTGCACTGCGTGACAGACTCACAGCCCCACTGGGGAAAGCGAGATAGAGCAGGAGCGAGAAAGAAAATGAGAGAGAGGGGAATACTGAATGGACAAGAAAGAATTAAGGAGTGAAGGAAAGTGGGTGGCAGCATGGTAGGACAGATACGATTGACAGAGCAAGGAACACGGCGGTGAATGGGACAGACTGCGGATGTTTGTGTGGGTGCATGTGTGAGAAAGAGAGATAAAGAGAAAGACGATGAGAGCGAGAATAAAAGAGGGCTTCAGTCCAGTTGCCCCCACTGTGCTTCCAGGCATCATATCACGTCACATCAACGACAGCCAGGCACCAGTCCCTGCCCCGTCCCAGATCACATCACAGCACTGTCACGAGCAGGGTCACTCTCCAGCACACATCTGTTGTTTGGTGTGTTGTCTCGTTTTTTTTTTTTCCTTTCTTTTTTGGACCGCTGTTTCCTCCCCGTCAAACCACCAAGTCACCTGTCAAGTCAGTCCCGCACCACATGCTCACTGAGTGCCTGGTGTGACCGCCTATAACCCCCCCCCACCCCATCACTGCCACCAGCAAGTTGGAGTTTTAGATATGCAACCATTTCTCAAAGCCTCACGCATTCAACCCATTGGCTGAGTTAACATAGCAAATAAACAGTTTTCTTGAATAGTGATGTCAAACTTAAAAGGCAAGAGGAAAGAGACTAAGAGACCTAGTGCTTACTGATACTAACCTTAGACTGTATATGAAGCCAGCAACCAGGGATGTAGCCGGGATTCTAGAAATACTGAGCTTATGAGCTACAGTGGCCATGAAACATGCGAAAAATACAAACAGCCTTATCTAGAGCCAGTTTTTGTTTGTTCCTTCTGGGTTTCTGTAGAAACATGACGGTTCGACATGGGGACCATGGTATTCTTTAAGAGTCAGTTAGGTTTTGGGTTCAGTAGCATTTTATACTATTTACTTTCATAATTATATATAATAATAATTCAGTCTAACATGTAATTCATTTAAATAAAGTAGAATGCAGTAAAATACATTGCAGAATTAACTATCCTGTTTTTCTATGTCCCTCTGCTCCCTCACTTGGCTGACAAGCTAACATTAATATCAGGCAGTTGTGATTTAAAAGCAGCCACACCTTGATCCAATTTCTTTCCACATATGGGGCTGAATCCAAAATGATACCTCACATTAGTTTTCAGATGGTTACATGTCGTGATTATCCATTCAGCCGTTCAGCTTGCTAGTTTTCTCCATTTAGTCTAGTTCACTGATGAAGCAACAGGGCATGTAATAGATCAAAGTGCATTTTAATAACACTCACTGCTGGAGTATACAAGGCATGGACTGTTGTGCTCATACAATGAGAATTTGAATTAATATTTCATTTTCAAATAAAAAGTGACAGCGCTAAAATTTGCTGTAAGCTAAATGACATTTATGTCCGTTTATATCAAGAATCCAAATCTCTGAAATAAACTTTCATGTAAATATATAAAATATATTATATAACTAATAGACTTATCATTTTAATAGTTTTGAAATGGGATGCATTTAAGCCCAATCCACTGGAGGATACCGTGTCAGTGTCACGTTTTGCCTCGCCTAGATGTGAAAAGTCTACGTGCGTATGAAGGTGCAGTATTAAGAGCACCAACGTCTGAAAAGGGAGCGGGGACGGGGCAGATGAGTCAAAGAAAGACAGGACTTTCACCCAGGAAAGCGATGTGTGAAACCAATGTCAATGCTGCTGTATTTTACGTATGCAAGTTAACTTATGAAATATACTTTACGTCAAGTATGTAACGTTGATAAAGATCTTTTCATAAAACTAAGAGAAACAGAAATGTGACAGTATTTTAAATTTACTTTATAAATGTACAGTATAAACTGTGCTTTCACGTATCAAACTGGGGATTTTAGACCAATGAGATCATTTCAGAGCACCTCTGGCTCCAGGAAATATTGTAAAACTAAAACTCCAGCCTGCCTTCCAGCTTCTTCCCTTCTCTACCTCAGCAGGTGCTCTTCCATGATGATCCTGGCTTGCTTTTTTTTGGGGGGGGAATAGGAGAAGCCAGCCTTCCCATTTTCTCTCTTCCCTTTTCTGTGTCTGTATATGTATGTATGTGTCTCCAGAAAACAATCGGATAAGCGGCATCCTGACCTCGCAGACGGAGCCCTACGACCTGTCTTTCTCACGCTCCTTCCAGAGCCTGTCACACCTGCCGCCCTCCTATGAGGCGGCCGTCAAAGCCGACCTCAGCCGATTCTCGTCCCTCAAGAAACTCAGTAGGTCCAAGTTCACTGCACTAATGCAAGAGTAGGCTCCCTGCCCTGATGCCCTGCATGAAAAAAAATACTGCATTACGTGTGCTTCCCTGACTCCTGACTGGGACTTACTGAGTGGCTCCAAGTGTTTCAGCTGTGAAAATTATTTGCTTGCCATACTGAGGACATCAAACTGTCGAAAAAAAGTACTCATTTTTCGAGGGAGATTTGCAACTCCCCATTGAGTAAACATTTCAGTGGATGAGATGGCCTTGAATCAGAATCAGTAAATACCCATTTCTCAACTCTGATCCTTCATGAAATCAGCCTAGTCATCTCAAGAAACTATGAGTCATTGAAATTCCATGCTTCCCTTGTCTCCACTTAAAGGCTGCAGCCACTATTTCTCTCGGAGCGTATAAGTATATTAAGCGGCTTCTTATGCCTGGCCCGGCTCGGTATTGATTTAGTGGTGCTACGCTGGATTTCTGCTGCGTAATGAGGTCTCATCTCATGATATTCTCTGAGTGGAACGCAAATATTCCTTAAGGCTTGTGTAATTTCATCATGACTGCCCCACTTCACTGCTGGCTTGCAGTCAAAGTGAAGGATGACGATCTACAACTCATCCCGTCAGGGCTCACTCCACACTGGCTCCAAATTCGTAGCTGCCAGGCACCATTTCAAACTAAATGGCAAAACGGGTTTGCAGGATGCAGTGCTATTTACTGGTCCTCAGTTGTGTTGGGAGAAAAAACAAAAACATTACCGTCCTTTTGCTTGATGAATATGAGAATTAACATAATAGGTTTTGATGGGCGGTAAAACAAAACCAAATGAATTCAATTGTCAAAGATTGCAGCCCACAAAAGAGACACAGTGTTAATATGGAAAGATATCCTTAGGCAGTGTCCTTCAGTCTTCCCAACTTTCTTTCTGCTTCCAAAGCAAATTATTTGTTGCAGTAAATAGCCAAAAGGCTCTGCAGTTTCTTTTTGTTGCTCAACTAGTGTCTGTGTGCTGATAGATCATGTTGGATTGTGCTGGAGGGAAGATAGAGCAGCGTTTTCATTGTCGGGATAATAAAAGAGAAGAATGCTACTGCTTATTAATGCAAATTGGTATCAAACCGAAGAAAAGCATTTAGCCCATTGCAGTGCAGGACAGTATACATCATGAGTTATTCATTCACTCTATGGTAATATGGTTGATGAGTTTGCAATGCCCTGCCCAGATCTTGAAGACTATTATGCTTGAGAAAGGAACATCTTGTATTTATTATCTCTCATAATGAATCGATTTGCAGCAAGCACCCGTGGCTCGCTGCTGAAGGGGATTTTGGCTGAGTGTAATCTTGACAGGTGGTGTGAACACTGCTGCAGCCATTATTGAAAAAGACAGGCTCAGACTCAAAGTCATCTACGAATTCTCAATAAGGTGGAGAGGTCTGCTCTCCATAATTTATTCCCACCATATAAATGACATGAGTGGTCACCTCTGATTTAGTATGATGGTTAAACATTCATGCTGGTGTTCATAAGGAGTGAAGAATTAGCATCTTTGTAAGAATGGATTTATAAATGTTTCCATTTATGCTGCATTTTGTCTGACAGTTTTTGTAAATGTGCTTCATTAAGTGTGTGTTTATGTACTCAAAGACAAGTCTTTATGCATGGGTTTGTGTTGTGTGGCATGAAGTTGATGCTACATTCACTCCTACACTCTACTGTCTCTGGAAATGTATTCTTGTCTTTCTGATCTGCTTCTAAATGCATGTTGTAGTTGTTTGTACACATGAATAAGGATGAAACATCCACCCAAGGACATTAAAACACTTGCAATTCTCAATGTGAAGTGATTGTGCAATAATACAATTAGCTTTCCAGCATGTATATATGAGGTGCCTGCGTGCTTCCCTTCCATATCTGTGTGACATGACGATGTTTGTTTATAGACTTTCACATGACCTTTGAAAAGTTTGCCCCCACAGCCAGAACTGCCTGTAGAATCCCAGATGAAGCCTGGATGTGTGGATGCTCTGTGCCTAGCATGTAATACAGTCGGACTGCGATTGCTCTGTCTCTCTCTATTTTCTATTCCCCTCCATGAGCTCGGAAAGGTGAAGCACAGATGGGCCCGCCAACACTATTCTCTGCATTGTGTGCAATGTGCTCCAATCCCACTTTATCCGATTCTTCCCCTTGCATTCTAACACCTACCCGTGTTTTCTCTTTCTTTCACTCCACGAATCTCCACTCACCTCTTGCTTCTGTTTTTTTTTTTTTTTGTATTCCCGTCTCTTCTGCAGCAGATAAAGAAGTCGAAGACTACTACACTCGTAAACGCCACCTGCCTGACCTGGCAGCAAGAGGCACTCTTCCATTGCATGTTCTCAAAATCAGTCAAGACCAGGTGGGTAAACAAGTGCTTGGTTTAAGTGTGCAGGCGAGGTCATGTTCTTTGCTTTTTATGTATCTCTGAGGCAAAGCAAGAGTGCTATTTTTTAGTCTCCAGAATTGAATTAGTCAGAGGCTATACCAACCTTCTGCAGTGGTGGGTGGTGGATCCTTTTACCTCTCAGCTTGTGAATAAACTCACCTCATTCATTTTTTGCTCAACAGCACCGGGAGCAGCAGCCGCAGCAGCTCCAGAGCCAGCCCCCGCAGTCCTCCATCTCCCAGGCCCCTCCCCAGTCGCAGGCTTCACAGCAGCCATCTCAGCAAAGGCAGAGGCCCCGTCGCGTCCAGAGGGCCATGTCCCAGGATCGCGTCCTGTCCCCGCAGAGGGCCCCACAGCAGGAGTACAGCATGTCATCTAATGGTATGTCGCCGTACGGAGGCAGGATCCTCTCAGACGAACAGCTTCTGTCCGCCGAACGCCTTCGATCCCAGGAGCGTCTTCTTCCACAGGACCGCCATACTTCCCAAGATCGCCTGTACACCAAGGACCGCATCTACTCTAAGGACCGACTACTGTCCCAGGAGCACCTCTACTCAAAAGACCGCCACTATTCTCAAGACCGCCTCTATTCACAAGATCGCCTGTACTCACAAGACCGCCTCCTATCCCAGGATCCCCTGCTCTCGCCAGATAAGCTGATGATGTCGCTAAAGCGCGGCATGGTCGGCAGCGTCTCTGGCGGGTTTCGTGGCAGTGACATGTCAATGTCGCGCGCCATCTCACACACAGACGTGTTCATACCAACAACCCCTCTTATGGATCGCTACAAGATGACCAAAATGCACTCCCATCCCAGTGCCTCTAACAATGGCGGTGGCGGGCCGCCGGGAGCGGGGGCGGGAGCGGGAGCGGGAGGCCCCGGGCACTCCAACACTTTATCCATGAACCAGACAACATCTAAGAGGCAGGCGTTTGCCTCCAGACGGACTCATACTGTTGAACAGCTCCACTACGTTCCACAGCACCACCAGCAGCAACAACAGCCACAGCACTACCGCACAGGCAGCAAGACTGAGGTGACTGTGTAACGGCAGCCGGGACTACCTGAACCGCACAGGAAGAAGCACTGCTGTGTGCTAGGGGGTGGGGTTGATTGAGGTATGTGGGTACACTGGCCTTCTTTTAGAGTAGGATGGTGGCAATTTCATTTTCTTTGACTAAGGTTCCTGCAAAGTCAGAGATTCCAGGACCAAGAACATCCACTAGCTTACTGTGAGAGACCGGAAAACCGAGCTACACTGTACACTGCATACACAGGCCCAGCTAGATCTGAAGCCAGAGAGGGTTGTGGATAGGGGAGCTGTGGTATTATCCAGCTAACTTGCCTACTATTATTTCCACTGTCTTGATTACCCCATTCATCCACAGGCTATGGCCTCATTCTGTGTATGTTTTAGTGAGAAAACACTGATTTTGTCTGTTTAAGCCTTTATCTGCCCCCTTTGTCCAACAAATCTATTCTGTGACCTTTTCTGGCGAATCTTAAAGGGCTTTGCATGGTTAAACACATAGACCGATTCCTCCGTGACTTCTGTTGTGCAACACAACACCACCACAAGTGATGAACTAGGATGAGCCTGTAATAACTTTATAAATATATAAATAAATGAATAAAAAACAACCATTTGTACTCCCTGTCCTACTCATAGCTCTAGAGAATCTCAATGAGAGAAACTGAAATGGATGTTATTAGCACTTCTATTTGGTGCCTCTGACAGATGTTCCATTTCTAACAACGAAGTGGTTTTGTGGGTTACAAAGCACAATCAATAAAAAAATTCTGTTCTGTTTTTTATTTCGTTTTTGAGTTTGAATAGTGATGGCTAGCTTGTTTTGTTCTTAAAGCAATGGCAGGTTTTTTTGCTTCCAGTAGATGATTGTAAATAAGCTATTCTAGAAACAGTATTATGGACAAGTCTGTACTGGATGGACTTTGTATTAGACTGTCTGTTTTCAATAGATTCTTAAAAAAAACAACTATAAATCATCACTGTTTCGTGAGTTCAGAATAGAAACCCACTTAACCAAGTATTTGACAGGATAAATTAATACTATACTGTGTGTGTCTTTGCAAAACTGTTTGTAGGACGAGAAGTGAATGAATGTGTTGTTGATAACAGATATACAACTGTTCATATTTGGATGTAGACTGTGTTCCATTGACATCAGAGGATTTGAACATCATGGAAATGGATTATAATGCTTGTTACAGTAGGGTCAAATAAACCATCCATATTTTTCTAAACATTCAACATTGTTCCTTGAGAGATGTCT